TGGTAGGCGACGTTCGGAAGACTACGGGTCGGGCAGGATGGGCAGGAGCGCGATGGGCGCGAAGGCAATTTACAGCTTAACCTTATACACGAGCAGAAAATACCTGGAGGTTTTGACTTCTGATGTAAGTGAAGTAACACAAGAGATGCCGCGTTCTCGAAAGTTTTTGGGAGCCAAAGTACTTCGGTAGGGTGACAGGGCACCTATGCAACTGTGTTCGATGACCAGCCTGCTGCAAACGGCTAGTGCCAGTAGTGAGATAGGAAGCTTCAGATCCCGGATTCGGTGGTCTTTAGCATATCACCGTCACCAAGGGTAATCGACCGGACCGACCGAGAATTTAGCATCTCCGATGCTGAATCGGGGGTTGCAACGTTAGGTTGTGGATGAGTCGGAACTTTGTGTGGTTTAATAGTCACGTTGATGATGCATACGGTATCGACGGCAACGATTTTGAGAATAATGCCCAAAATATTGTCAATCAGCCTGTCAGCCTAGCATACTAAGCTGACTTGCAGCGAAGTACTGACTCATCCTACTGAATATGATCACGTGATGTAAAGTAGATTAAGTGTAAACATCATGGGGCCCACTGCATCATGCAGGAATTCTCATTTCAAGACACCAACTTACATAACATTTAAATTTAGGTCAAGCAAGATTGGTAGTGATCATGTCATCGTTCTGACAAATGTACTAGTTCTCACCACGTTCCCCCTTTTTCACAAAGCATTAATCTGCCGCAGACTCTGCGTAACATCTCGGCCAGTTAATATTTCAAGCCGCGTACTTCCTAGGCAGTTATAAAGACCACTTCCACTTCTTGCGATCCAGAATCAACCTTTCATTCACAATGTCTATTCGAGCCACTACCTCTCTCGGCGGTACTGCATCTAATGTCACCATTGGTAAAGTAGCTGTATGTATGCTGCTCTTCATCTCAAAGTTTTTTCTTACATTTCCCCTCCCAGCATGGATTGATGATGATGACGTGCGTTTTCTTTTCTTCTGACAATCGTTGGATCGAGTTCACATCGATGGTCCATCATGTAGATGGACACCCGAGCCAGTCCCAGACGAACAGTGTTTTGAGGCTATCAAGGCTGGCGTGGATGCCCTCCCTCCTGGCACAAAGATGTTCCTCAACGGAGGTAGGCAAAAGTTCCCCACATAAGACATATGTGCTAAATCCGGTCACAGGGGAATTCTATGGGCACAATTTATCAACCGCAAACCTCGAGATGATCGCCCGGTTCTTCGAAAAGTACCCCGACTACGTAGACAAGACCTTCTTGTCCATCAAGGTACGGTCTATCCCCGCTTCCGCCTCATTGTAATTAACTCTTTGTTTTTCAGGGAGGACTAAAGCCTGGCGTAGAGGCACTGCCTGACGGCTCGTAAGTCCCAATTGTACACCATGATCGTTATAATGAGATGCTACCTTGACCATCAGACCCGCCAACTTGAGACGAAGTGTCGAGCTCATCAATGAGAAACTTCGCGGCACCAAGCGCCTTGATTTGTTCCAGAGCGCTCGTGTAGACCCCAATGTCTCTTTGGAAGAATCGATCAGGACCCTTGTTGAACTCAAGAATGAGGGTAAACTAGACCATATTGGTATGTCGGAATGCAGCGCTGACACTCTGCGGCGTGGTAATGCTGTATGTGGATAGTATGACTGTCTTGGCAAGACATCTGCTCAGTATGTTCCAGGTACACCCCATTGCTGCTGTCGAGATTGAGGTCAGCCCATGGGAATACGGAGAGGAGGCCAAGAAAGGTACGTCATTAGACTTAAAGTTCTGTTGGAGTAACTCATCTTCAAATCTGTCAGTCATTGCGACTGCCGAAGAGCTAGGTATTGCTGTTATCGCATACTCGTACGTGTCACGTTATTACACGCCTGTTCTGACCTGACAATAATCATGTTTAGTCCGCTTGGTCGTGGGTTTTTGACCGGTCAAATCAAGAGGCCTGAGGACATTCCGGGTAAGATTATCGCTTAACGATATTTATGATGCTCACCGCCATTCCCAGAGGGAGATTTCCGCCGCTTACTGCCTCGTTTCCAGGAAGATGTAAGTTTCCCGATATGCGCTTGATCGTCAGCTCATCATAGCTGTACAGAACTTTAAACACAACTTCGCTATTGTTGATGCGCTGACTGCGATTGCGAGGAGCAAGAACGTTACCTCTGCTCAACTTAGCATCGCTTGGGTTGCATCGTTGGCCAAGCATGTCATCCCTTTGCCCGGTTCCTCGTGAGTCCCCGTCCAGACATACGATTGTCATGGGCCTTGACATTGTTTCAGGCATGCCAAGCGCACTCGAGAGAATTGTGCTGCAGGAGATATCGAGTTGTCTACGGAAGACATCGCAGAAATTAACGGTGTTATCAGTGCTGCCGACGTCAAGGGTGGCAGGTATGGCCATCAGGCAAAGTTCCTCTGGGGTTAGATGGTTTCAGTTGGCTTTAGGCTCTAGTCGGCGAATCGGACCATTCAAACTGTATTTTATTTGACTTTGGGCCGCTTTATGTGAAATAAATTGAAAGTGATTTACCTAAGGTCCGCCATATGCTTTGAAGGAAACCTTGTGTATAAAATTTGTGACTTGATGTGTACACACGACTCGGAAGCTTATGAAGACTTGTCACTTACAGCTAACTTCATATCGATAGGCCAGAATCCATTTTTGTTCATTCACCGCTTTTGTTTAGTTGTGGAGCTGGCCGGCCTATTACGATACTTCGTCGGGTGAGAAAGGCAAAGCAAGGGAGCAGAGGAGCATCAATGAGTATCAATACCAATGTCTAACACTAGCTGTACAGTAGATGTCAAGTAATGGCAATTGTCGTAGCTGTATTCTGACAACGGAGCCGAAGAACTCGGTTGATAGTTCGGCGGCTTGTGTTAGTGACTTGTACTATGGCCTTGGATGACATTTGGGCAGACATAGTGACCCGTTGTTGCTTCATGGCTGCTGGAATGTGACGGCGGTTTCCAACCATAGTGAGAATGGTGTCCGAAGGCAGTGTCGAATGAGAAAGGTATCTCGCCCGACGAAGTATCGTAATAGGCGGGATCCTTTATTTGGCCAGCTCCACAACTAAACAGAGGATGAACAAAAATGGATTCTGGCCTAACGTATATGGAGTTAGCTGTAATAGTCTTAGTCTTAGTCTTAGTCTTAGTGACAACCGCGGCGATCACTGGACTCCTCGGCCATGCATACATTACACAGTTAGAACAATTCGAACTCCACGGGCGACTAATCTGCTCTTCTCTAGACTTGCACAGACTCCAAATCCTAAGTTAACCTCTCATCAGCGTCACTAGTTCATGCCTCGCCCCGAAGCGTTCTTTTTACATGGCGTCGCCGTGGGCGTGATGACATATGGCTTCATTGGCCTCAGAACGCTACCCATAGATGGCTGGATCCGAGCACAGAAAGGAGGGCACTTCCAGTTTCTGACTATACAAGGGCGAGTGTTCCCTACCCTGGACTTCTCCGAGAGAAACTGATTCAAGTTTATGGCAAGGCTGGCTGCTGCTTGGGTGACTATGGTCCTAAGCCTTGGCTGTGATTTGCTGCCTTCATTTGCTAGTAAGAGCAACAGTCAATCAGCCCTTTCTACTTGGATTATGACACCTTCTCCAGCCCTTCGCACAGCCAAGCGTGCTTCCCTTATGATAGCTCTCCCTGTAACTCATTCCGCCTCTCTGACGCTGTTCGTTCATTGATGAATCCATCCCAGCTCACATTTGTAATATCCGCAGTGTACTGGCCACTCCTGTTGTTTTTTCCATCATTGATTCTACCGCGCCAGCTTCCGGGTCTATCTGAGCCCTCTTCTTCGTCGACCCTCCCTTCACTGGCACGGATTCCTTTCAACATGGATTTCTCTCTCCATCTCGCTCCCGTCATCACTCTCCTTGTGGACTTTATTTTCTTCGAGAAGAAATATACGAAAAAGCAAGCTCAAATTGGCTCACCACTCGTTGTCCTCGCCTGTGGGACATGGTATTCCTGGTGGGTAGAATATTGCGCTAGTTATAACCATAGATGTGGGTATTTGTATCTTCCTTTGGTTACACGTTACTGAAATAGCTCGATGTCTAGTCCCATACCCTTTCTTGACGGAAAACCCATTCAACATCCGCGTTGGCATCTATGCATTCGTGTCCTTGCTTGCTTGGAGCTGTTTCCGCCTCATGAATGCACTCCATCCTTAGAGAGTTTTACCATCTTAGTAGAGCTAACAACAAACAATCAAGGTTCAGCGCAACTGGTGTGGCCCAGTTTAGTAGATTGTTGATGACATTCGAAATGTGATGATGGTGCACAGATTGTTACAAGTAGTATAAATTATCATTGATAGACCCAATGGGAAGTTAACTTATCTTCCCCATATATTTCGGAAGTATAACATGGCATTGGGTAGTGCAGAGGTATTACAATGCAAGATGTTCGCTCTCACCACGATGCGACAACGGGAATCTCGTTCTTTACCGAATTTGACGATCGAATATTGAGAGGAGTGACTAGTGATGTGGGACATTCAAACGGCGCCAGTACACAGCTCTTTGGCTAAGGTGAGTTGTAGCTTAGGCGTTATGATCATTGAAGCATTGACACCTCACCATTACGATGCTCTTGTTCTGTTTCGCTATGAGTGTTTAGTATAGGGAATTATTATCTCGATGCCCGATTGAAAATGCTTGGCAAAATCGAACCAACACTCTGCATTCCTCCAAGAATAAATGGTGGTCCCAGAGATAACTGGTATTTGAATAATCTAGGAACGGCCCTCACTTGCTAGGAACAGGCCACGGTGTAATGTATATGCCACTTGTCGAAAATGCTTTGGTACCCCGCGCGCTCGATTAAGAGAGTTGCCAGGGTCGAGTGTGATGTTGAACAATACGTTGAAGCTGCCATGTGAAGTAATCGTGCCGACTCATCGATCATCTCCAATCCGTATTCCCTGGATTGAACTCCTCTAGTAGATTGTCATCCAACACTGGATACTATCAAGAATAGTCAAACCAGCTGAAGAAGCTTCCTGAGAATAATAAACTTGGCTCTCGGTTTGATGGGCCAATCGCTAGGGACTGAGACATAAAGATTGACAAGGCAGCTGTCACCTCATGGTTCCCACGAAGCGATGTTTCTCGGACTCCGTATCACTGTCGCTACCTCAGAATAGCACGACGACGAGATATTCGTCTTAAACAATCGTAGCGGCGGCGAGCCGCCAGTCCCTGACTCTGCCTGACAGTCTTTCACACGCCAAGTCGTCGTGATTTGTAGTTGCTCTTCCATGTTGCCCCATGCGATTGGGATCAAACGCGTCGGGTCCGATGAACACGACACTCAAGAAGCCATTAATGTCTGCAGGAGTGCGTGGCAAGACAGAAGCAGTGGACATCACATTCATGTCATGTGCACATGTGTTGCCATGAAACACTTTAGGCTGAGATGGATCAGAGGACTGAAAAAGACGCGTCACATGAGCTGTAATCGAGTAAATAGCACAAACTTTCTCCTCCAGCCAAGTGAGATCCTGAAATATCTCGGAAAGGACTCCACGATACAAGCGATTGGCAAGTGCAAAGGCGGGTAGTTTTCGCTGCGCCAGCGATGTACGGCATGAAGGACACACGAACATGGATACAGCCTCAGAGCCTTGAAACACCAGGCCATACTTGTCTATTGTCAGGCCGTCAATTACTTCGTTGCCGTACGAAAAACAAGTTGAGATGGACTGCACCACGCATTTCTGGATGACATAAGGGTCAGACATGCGTAACACCTCAAGATGAACGCAGGACGGGCAGTTTTTGAGGTGCAAAATATTATTTGACCAGTACGTGGCAGGATAATAGGCAACGTGACTCTGAGACATATGATGAGAGTCTGGGCTACGGCCCATTTATGATGAAAATGGCAATGTTTTCACGCGCACATGAAAATACAGGTGCCTGGACGTTTGGATCTGACAGAATTGTGACAGAACCCCCGGGTACCACGTCCATTATCTGAAACAAGAAAGAATCAGAAATAACCACGAGCTCTCCTATCGTACTGCAGCATATCTCTGAAAGCTCATTGCTCCTCACCGCCGTCACAGGCTGCTTGGCTTGGTTAGTGCATTGTAACTGCAGCACTCACTGCGGTCACCGCTCGAGACTCTATTACTCTTAAGCTCAACGTCAGATGTACAAACTCAACTGTATTGTCTTGGGCGATGATCCTTACCGTATTTTCTCAGCCAACGTTGCGCAGACGCAGACTGTTGGTGACCTCAGAGACGTTATCAAAGACAAGAAGAAGCCAGAATTTGACCATATTGATGCTGACCATCTCGAGCTATGGCGGGTGAGTGATCTAATGCCTACGATTGGATGTTGATAATCTGATATTTAAGAAGGTCGACCTGCCTGTCGACGAGACGATCGAGCACAATCTTAACAATCTTACACTTGACACAAAGGAATCCCTATCACCTGTGGATGAAATGCTCGATATTTTTGAAAATGCTCCTCAGTATAAGCATCTGCATATTGTTATCCGGGTCTTACCTGCCAGTGAGTTGTCTTTCAATATTGCCACCCTTTCCTGCTTACTGATAGTTGTCTGACTTAGTGTCTTTTGGACCTATCCACCTCAGACTTAACTGTATTGTCTGGGGCGATGATCCTCGCCATGCATTTGAGATCAAGATTGCACCGACAGAGAGTGTCAGCACCCTCCAAAAGGTTATCAAAGAACAGAAAAAGCATAAATTGGATGGTGTCGATGCTAAGGCTCTCAAGCTATGGAAAGTGAGTGATAGATACCAGTCTAATGATGATGACCTGATCATTTGGAAGGTCAAGATCGATTGGAACGACCTACACTTACTCGACACGATCGGAGACCAAGGCGTGGAGTTGAAACCGTTAACCAAACTGTCCGAAGTATTCACGGATGGACTAGAGCGCGGATGTGTTCACGTCGTCATACAACACATTCCAGCTGTAGGTCGACGACTCGCTTATCTCAAGAAGAGCGCAGGTACTCCGGCAGTTGGCGCAATACCGTCCGCATTCTCTATAAAGCAGGACGAGCAAGAGTACCTTTGCAATCGTCCTCGCAGAGCTGCAGACCCTGTTCCAGTTACTCTTCTCGAACCTATCTTCGCCAAGTTTGTGGATGATTGTCAAAATCATCAACCAACTGTCTGCGATAATGACTTTGTTTGGCAACTTTCGCAAATTATGTCTTCCTTTCATTCCGATGAGCTCACGCGGATGCTTGTATTCCGGCAAGTGCTCTGCGACTTCGTTGGCTCGACAAAATTTACGACAGACGGACATCTTTTGTCCACCAGCGGACAGTTTGTGCAGGTGATATTGGAGGTGAGGAACGAGATCGGAAGCGGCGCTACCGAACCATTCACGGAGGCAATGTTGTACTACCGCAAGTTTATGGAAGACTCGAAGATTGAGATAGTGAAGCTCCGGTCTGTCATTCCATGCATCCATATCATTGTCTTCGGTTAGTTCATTTCATCAGATTCATTGCTAAAGCCCTTTATTGACCGCAACTAGGGGCATGCATTGGCTTTGCAGGCTCTGTTTTCACAGAAAAGGTCCAGTCTGATGTCCTGGTCCCTATCATTCCTCTGTTTTGGCATTCAACAGACCTCAATATGCAAGTGATGGCAGCTCGTACTTTCGGGGCTCTCAAAATCGCCATCGAGAAACTCACAAATCTGTACTCTCATCCAATTCCATCCCTCGAACCCAAAGATCCACCTCTAGGATGTCCTTATCCTCGGAGTTATACCAAGTCAACCGGTCACATTCAAGAATTCTCGTATGATGAGACTCAAGTCCTCAGGGATAAACTTATCTTCTTCGGGGAAACCGTCGGCGATGCGGCTGGGAGCAAGATATGTATCAAGTTCGTCAGGCACTATTCCCCTGAAGCCCACGAATTCTGTGCCAGCAAGGGGCACGCTCCCAAACTTATCGCCTACAATCCTTTACCCGGCGGCTGGAATATGGTGATTATGGATGTCATTGATATTGATAAGGATTACTTCTCGCAACGGCCTGGCTCATATCGACTGCTCAGTGAGATAGCTGTTTTGGACCGCCAGCCGCTGAAGGAGGCCATCACCTCTCTCATCCGGGAGTTACACAATTACAATGGTGGCTACGTCCATGGCGACCTTCGGGATACCAATTTCGTTGTGAGAGACAAAAAACACTTCATGCTGCTCGATTTCGATTGGGCTGGACCGATACAGAAGACCCGTTATCCTATGCTTGTTAATCGGATAGATATTCGGCGTCCTGATGGTGCGCGGGATGGGAAGAAGATTGTGGCGGAGCATGACTTGGATATGCTAAATTATCTATTTCATTCTGAGCAAGATGGTCAGGAGCCGGCTGCAAAGCGCCGTTGTATATATTTCAATGGCCATTTTATTCATTCATAGCATCGTTGTATCACCAAACGTCTAATTTCTTACATACAAGGACACGCCTTCGGTCTTATTTTCGACGACAAATTATATTTACAGTAGCAAGTGAGAAAATATGATATTTGCACAGTCCTGTTCTTCGTTCGTCTCTGCGAATAAACACAGCATATCTCTTCGTGCCCTCACTCTGGACAACGCCGCATATAATTAGCCGTGAGCAAATGTATCCGTCCGCAGGTCAAGTACTGTGTGTGCCAGCGTCAGTCCTTCTGCTTACTGTCCACGAAGAACGGTGTGGATGGAATGAGACGTTGATGCGTGGGATGCAGTGGCTTTCGTGTGTATTGAGAAGTTGGATTTCGACGAATCGACGGTGGAGTGTGGTGACATGCACGAGAGCATTTCTGACCAGTCCTTTTTCTACCGAGATGTTTCGTTGAATGGCGCAAATACAATTTTGTTTCAGATCTAGGTGATGAAGAGGTACTCCAGGGTGAGTCAACATCGCGAGATAATCGCTCGTGTTCTCTGGTTTGTTGAATCGAACGCGCTCTGCTTCCTTGAAGCTGTCCGAACTAAAATAAGAATCTGCGGATTCTTGTCAGTTGTATCATTCATGATTGATGTGAATTAGGGATGCTCACGATTTCAGGCCGACGTGGCAACTCATGATCTGCGCGAGTGTTTGGCAAGAGAAGCTCAGACCTGTGAAAATATGGGGAAAAGGAAACAGGAATGAAAGAGAGAACACATTGACACGAATGTCTCCAAGTTATGGTCTGCAGTAGCAATGAATCCGTCGTATCGCCAAAGTTCTTTCTGTCAATCTGATACCGAGTTCCATTTTAAAGACCAACAACTCCGTGAAACGAAGCGGACGTTCGCCATAGTAGTGAATGAAAGAAGGGCAAATAGGAAACAAACGTGAACAAAAAGATGGTTGTTGAATGTGCCATGCAACAAAGTGCTCGCTGCTTTGTCCCGTGGGATGTGCTCGTCATCGCAGTCCACGAACTCGTTCTTGTTCTCTGTATGAATTGCAAGCATCTGACGTGTCCAGAATATGACCAGGATAAAAAAAATGGACATACAAGCACCCGCCTGAGGCAGGCGCAAGTAGAACCAGAGCTGCCTCCGCCTGAGGCAGAAGTGGTCAACTGTGGGTAGAGAGGAGGGATATGGAAATGCATCTGGTATGAAAAATTTTGCAAACGACATCAATTGCAAGTTGATTTGAGAGGCTTGTCGTACCACCAACACGGATAATCGGACACTCTGATCAATGTGAGGGATTTGCCGAGACAGACTGTATAGTGAAGAGAATAAAGTTAAGGTTGCAAGAGCGAGTACAGAGAAAATGTACGTTTGAGTCTCCCCCACTAACGTGGGAGTCGGGGAAAGATTATAATGAGCTGGTTTGTATGTTTTGTTGAACTGCTTGAGCATGATGGGAAGAAGAAGATCTATCATTACCTAAGCATCAATTTTTTATCTTATCTGGTCGAGTCACTAGAGCTGCCAAAATGTATGTGAGTCAAACAAGGATCGAGGTGTTTTATCGTTATCCTCTCCAAAATGTGTGGTATACTTGCAGTTCATGGCATAGAAAATCCGCCGGCTGAGCGCACTCGATTTTTGGCCCTCTCAAAACGTCTTCGTCATCGTGGACCTGACTGGTCCGGGTGTTTTGTCGGAAAGGAAGGCATACTTCTTCACGAACGCCTTGCCATTGTTGGTGTTGGTGTGTGACTTATCATTCATTATATTATTGATCCTGACCCGTTGTGGCTTAAGACACCGGTGCCCAACCCCTCGTCAGCGAGGATGGTCAAGTCATACTCGCTGTCAACGGTGAAATCTATAACCATCTAGCACTTCGTGCGACCCTCGGCTCAACTGTCACTTTCAAGACACACTCGGATTGCGAGGTCATCATTCCTCTGGTTTGTTGTGCTATACATCCGTCTGTGCCAATTACTGACGATCTGCAGTACAAAAAACATGACAAGGATCTTTGTAGCATGCTCGACGGCATGTTTTCATTCGTACTTCTGGATGAGTCTGTGACTCCTACTAGAGTAATCGCCTCCCGCGACCCCATTGGGATTACAACATTATACCAAGGATGGAGCTCGAAGCACCCAGGTGCAACGTATTTTTCCTCAGAGTTAAAAGCTCTCGTCGATGAATGCGACACGATTATTTCATTCCCCCCTGGTCATGTCTACGACAGCCGTGACCAGTCAACGACACGTTACTTCCAGCCAACTTGGTGGGATGGAGATGCAGAAACAAACCCTGTGCTCGCGACCACACCCGTAGATTATACCCTTCTCCGGGAAACCCTGGAAGCTGCAGTGCGCAAGCGGCTTATGTCTGAGGTGCCTTATGGT